CGCGGAAACAAAAGCTCCTTGGCTTTATAAGCAGCAGAGGTGTACAAAAATAATCTTTCTAACAAAATGGCCTAAAATGTCCTTCTCCCCACCCCCCCCCGGCAAGATGTGCCATACACAGGTGGGTTTTTTCAACTTTAATAATGTTTCATTTTACAATCAAAAAAAAAAAAAGAGAGCTACTTGCTTGCAATAAAGACAATGACAGAAATAAAAACTTCTGAAACCTTCTCTTAACACCAAGATTGAGAATTTATGATGTCGTCTCTCTTCCGAGAAGAGAAAGGATAGATATTTAATTTCGTCTCCTAATACTGTTTCAGAAAAGAGAAGTCTAAGTGACACCTTGTTCGATTCTAAAATTAGATCCAGACTGAACTTTCTCCAGGCTCTTGGGGATGGGGAGGGATTGTTTGGTTGTTTTTGGTTTAGCCTGAGAGACTAGTCTTTTTTCCCAGGCACAGCATTAAATCTAAGCTGAATTTCAAAGGGCTCATCTAGTAAAGGTAAAGGTACATCTACACCGCAGTAAGGTGCACCATAAAATCCAGCAGTAACTGTTTGTATTTTTGTATGACTTCGATTCTGACCAAGATCTCAGTGCTAAGCACAAGACAAACATTACAGAAAAACAGTCTGTGCATTAAGGAGCTTACGGTCTTAATAGAGAGACTCAGTGGAAGTGTGCATGGGGAAAACAGACGTGGAAAGTGACGTGTCGAGTTTCACTCGAGGGTGTCAGGAGAACCACAGCCACCCTCAGTCCAGGAGTCTGTACACCGTCCCCTAACTGAGCTTAGATAGATCATTTCATTGTTCTGGATCAGACTCGTTTCTTAGCTATCAGACTCCGTGTGTCTTGTAAATGATGGGTGAGTTCATGCAACGAGGGGAAATGGAAATCGTGGTGCTGCTTTATATTTTATGCAAAAAGCTGAGGCCAAAGCTTTTGCTGAATAGTCTGCTAATTGTGCGATATTACATGTGATTAAGGCTGCTGAACAACTGTCCTCTGTTAAATAACATTATGAGACCAGAAATGCAGTTACCTTAAGATTATATTCCAAGATACAAAGACTACTTTTTAATCTCAGAACACATTAAGCACTTTTTGCTTAATACAGGAGGGAGATACATTCCTCCTCCACTTTCTCCCTCCTTTTATACCAACCAAGAAAGTATTAAAGCCTGCTTCATCTTTTTCACAGACTGATACTCATTTTGCTTCAGATCTGCAGAAGTCACCTAAGTTTTTAAAATTAACAAAGCAAAGGTAAGTTCTCAGCAGTGCTTTTCCAGGCAAGAGATCTGTTCAAAAGCACAATGATTAGTGTGTATTTGTCCATTAAATACCAAATTTCTTCTTGAATCACAAATAAGAAAAAAATGGAAATAAAAGAAAAATGCTAACCTGTATTGGACGAGCCTAAGCAGGCTTTTAGGTAAGAATTCGTCAAAGCTGAAAGAAAAACAGAAATAGCACGTCAGAAAAAGTTTAAGACAATTACAAAAGGTGCACAGAGTAGTATGACACTACTTGTACTGCCTAAACGATCATGACCTAAATGCAGCTAAAAAGGTTTCTAGATTTTTGAGAACAGCAAGGAGAAAACGCTGGACAGATATCGCCTGGCTAAAAAGTAACAAGCTACAAAAATGCAGGAACACCAACTTTTTGCCTGCTCTATGTCACATCAGCGCTTAGATATGTCATAACCTTGGGAGATGGATAGCGTGCAAATGTGGACGCTGGTTCTCTTGTATGCTGATTTGATGGCATTTTTTTTGTGTCGGAGATAAAGTGCGCAGAGAGCTCTGGCTGAGAGAAGTTGGACGCGTAGCATTTTACACCTTTCATCCCTCCAGTTCTTGACATAAAAATCATTTACACTTTTGAAAGACTAATATACTAAAACATCTTTGATAGAATTTACAACTTAAAAGCATTTGAACAAGTCATCAACAGTTTTAAGTTACTGAATAAGAACAGATAATGAGGTTACAGAATAGAGTTGGGATGTAGAAGGCATTTTGAACAAAGCCTCTCAGGAACATACCTCTGTTAGAGTAGGAAAATAAAATACAAAGAAAAAAGACAAGGCAACAAGTACAAAGGCTTCTTAGCTATTACTATCAAAACCTAAGCACTAATATACAAAGCGAAAAGTACTGACTGATACATTGGTGTCCATGCAGTAAAATAGCCTGAAGCATATTTAAAGGTCTACATTATTTGCTTTAAAAGAGTTGTGATAGTGAGACTGGGTGGAGCGGGCAAAGGAAGGCAGTCCCCTACTCAGCTGGCCCTGTCCTACAGGCCGATATCAGTTAAGCCTTACTGCAGAGGACATCTATCCTTTACCATACTTAGCTCTATTTAGGGTGCTTAGTGCAGGTGTGTTTTTGCAATGATATTGAGGAGAACAGTATTACTGCCTGCATAGAAGAGGGAGAACAAAGATTCCCTTTGTGGTTGACTTCTTTGCAAGGATATTAAGAGAAACAAATGTTGTCCATGCCCTTTCCCTTCTCCTTGGGACACACGTTATCAGATACACTAAGTAAAAGCAGCCAGTCTCTGCACTGCTTCTGGGCAGGGATATATAGATCTGAGCTGGCCTTACCAATATATTTATTGGTAGAACTAGCATGTAGATTGCTGTAGTGGAGGTAATAGCCCCAGAATAATTTGGTATAGTTTCGAGATCTGTTCTAACTTAACACGTCCGGGCAGGGTACAGGCTTTGTTATAGAGATTCTGCTCATTACTGAACCTTAAAAATATAACTTGGATATAGGCTTTCCTTTTTCATTTCCAAATACACTGATTATGCACAGGAAACCTTGGACGGAGGACAGAATAAGGTTTCTTCCCTAAACCCCATGCTAACTTGCCATTGACTGATACCGAGTCACCTTAAACCATCCCATGTAGCTCTTTCTGACATGAAAACTGTCAGTCTCTTCCATGAAGTACAACAAACTTCTCCATACTCAGCAGATTCTAATGCTAAGAGAATGGTATATGTTGCAATTTTACCTATTCATATTTGTCTTGTCCAGAAAGTCAAATCTTGAGAACAAGACTGTTAATTTAGAAAAGATTGCTAATTTAGAAAAGAATAAAGTTTGCAAAAGACTCATTGAACCCTTATGTCTAAGCTAACAGGAAACTTTGATAGAGAATTTTATCTTTCTCAACACCTACACAGATATTTTGCAACAACAGCAGGTCAGGTTTGTCATCCGTTCCAGTAAATGTTGGAGAGCAAAATGCCATACAGTAATAATTGTAAATGGTGTAGGAAGCTTAGAAAACTCAGACAGGAGAGAGGGAAATTGATGTTTATGTTGTTTTATCAAAAGCCAATATTTGGAGAAAAAAAGTTAGAGTCAGTGCTATGTATTTTATACAGGTGCGTAAGCTGAGGCGTGAAATATATCCTGTAAAGAAAAAGTGAGACTTCTACAGAGATGTCTGTTCATTTGCAGAATTTTATCACTGGGGGGAAAAGGGATTACATTTTTAAAAACTTATTTTTAACATTGTGGACTTTGGATCAAGAGTGAAAGAACGAGTGAAAGAGACTTCAGAAAAATAGAGACCGGACAAGACCTGAATTCCAGCAGTACTAACAGTGATGCTGTAGTTATTTGAAACATCTGTCTGCTCTCAAAGTCCTCTGACCCAGTAAAAATGTTATTTTATATTTTTATATACTTTTTGTACACATGTTAAAAATTAAAAAGCCAAGCAATACCTGATAACCTTTTCATCTATGAATGAATTTTAAAA